TAATTGGATTATTTGTCTTTTTGTTATTGAGGTGTTGGAGTGTTCTATAAATTCTAGAGATAAGTCCCTTGTCAGATATGTCATTACCAAATATTTTTTCCCAATCTGTAGGTTCTCTTTGGACTCTTTTGGAGAAGTCTTTGGAAACACACAAAAATATAATTTTTAGAAGGTCCCAATCATCTGGTTTCTCTTCTGCTGTTTGTTCTCCTATTATTCTTAAAAACTCTTATCCCTTTCTTTCTGATTTTCCCACTTTTAATAAAAACAGAGATACAAGAAGTATTTCATTTTCTTGTTAGCTCATAAGAAAATAGCACTGGTATGTTGATGAAGGGCAGCTGCCATTTGGCTTCCATGCTGGGTATAGGAAGTGGTGAGGCCTGGGGCCTCACCTGAGGGGGGTTCCCAGGAGATGGCTCCATGGCCAAATGCAGGCCTAGAATGGCTAGAGCTTCTGATTTCTCAAGAGAATGGGAAATCTTATTTTTTGTGACATTTTCTAATTTTAAAAAATGGTGGCAACTCATTAAAGATATTTGTTATTTAAATTGATACTCTGCAGGCCAAGCTCAACTCAACTGGGAGCCCAGTCAGTCTTGCACACCACCAACTTTGTCTTCTGCCTCAGAAGCCAGGAGAGACTTGTCTTCTGAGGGGCTGGGAGGAGGGGTTTTCTGAGTGGAGACAGGAGGGGCAGGGAGGGAGAGGAACCGGATGCCGAGAACTCCGTCTCCTGCTTCTCTGCCAAGCTCCCATGCAGTTCTCCCCATTGGGACCCTCTGCCTCCTGCTCTGTGAAGGGAGAGAAGTGTGTGCAGTACTTTGCTCCTCTGGCTGTTGAGCTACTCAGACAAAGAGATATGTGTGAAATTGTTTTGGAAATCATCAAATGCCTCATAGATATAAAGGGCTAGCACAGATAATCCCAACTTACATGGGGTTCCATTCCAAAGACTCTGTCATAAATCAGTTCTAACTAAGTGGAATACCTCTTTAAAAA